TTATATGAACTATATAATTCGTTGTTGGCGTGTTGAAATTGCCGGAGCGCCGACAATACGTGCGCTCTATACAAATAAAATTCAAATTACGTAAAATCACATTTTTGATTCATTTTTGAACCGTCTATAGCATTATACGAGTTATGGGTATGCATGCTGTCGGGTTTTAGTTAAAATATAATATAACAAATCATTAYGAAACGTAGCGTTTAGATCTAATTCGATTTCTTAACTTCTTTTGTGGTCGCCATATTGCAATTTACTCGCATATTATTATGTTTACACAACTGCGTCAATCGAATCGTTAGAATGGCTCTAAAACTAGACGTTTTTAAATTTTTCTCTAAAACTGCAGCAAACACATAATATTTACTCTGATTATGGCCGCAAATAAAATAAAAATAATAAAAAAATATTATCGTTCTAAATCACTGTATATATACCTAAAACATTGGTAATCGATACTATTTTTTTCAACAGACCTTTTAAATGTCCCATCGATTCATCTACTTGTCACGGAAAACCCGATTGATTTTCTTTAAGGAAATTAGATTTGGAAAAACTATCAATCTCATACCGTCGATACAAAATGATTGAATATTTACACCAGTCAGAAGATGCATTTCACTTTTAATTATGTTATCTAGCAATATAATCAATATACATGGCATGGGTAAGACTCTTTCTTGAGTTCCTTGTATATAATATTCCTGTTGAGATGACAAGAAACTATATTATTAAAAATAGTGCAATAGAAATAAACAGTCAATAATACACTTTTGTATAATATATTTTATAGATAAGTATTGAATTATAAATTATTATTTCGTTTTTTGTTTCCCGTGGACATTCGATCTATATTCGATCTATATTAGAAATATATAATATATAGGAACTTCACTACAACGATATTATGATTTATTCATCGTATTTCATAATTTACTATTTAACATTTAACTTACTTATATTTTTAAATTAAAGACTCATGGAACCATTTGATGTATATTGTTTTAGCTTAAAAATATTAATCGTTTAATACATTGAACAAATTGAGTGCTTTTTGAAGAGATTTATCAGATAAATGTTTGAGGTTAATTGAAGATGATTTTGTATAATTTCGGCTATTGACACGGAAATATTTAAACTTTTTCTGATGTCTAAATATTGTATTCTGCAATCTGTAAGTATTTGTTTTACCGCGGGAATTTTTACTTTTGGGAGCATGAAGACAGAGCTTTGTCTATAAAAGCGTTGCAAAGTCGTACGAGTCTTACTTATGTGTTTTTAATTCTTAAATTTTTGAATTTAGGTCTTATATAACATAAAATAAAATTGATAATTCCGATCATTTCGATGCATTTTATGTTAATATTACTTGTTGTAAAAATTAATAAAAGCATTTTTATACATTCACCATATAATAACAATACAAAATTTTAGTGGGCAAAGTTACATTACCTATATTATTAATTATACAATTCTTTCTTCCAAAATATTCATCAAAATAATATTAATATAATATAATATTTCTGTCCTTACAGAACTTATACCTACTTATGGTAAAATATTATATTTACAGATTGTATAGTAAAAAAAATTATATATAAAAAAAAAAAGTACTATAACATAATTTTTAATCACTACATCACATGGGTTCTAGAATGCAGTAAAATTAATAAATATATCTATAGGATTGGCATCGAGTTCTGGATTTCAAGCGTGTCATTATAAATTATTTTTTGTAAAACAATAAACCATCTTTAAAAGATTAAAAATTAATACTACTTGTCTGGTATTTACAAAACCGTGACTATTTCCAGCAATAGGACTCGATCAAACACAGGTCTGACGGTATTTTGTAGATACCGCGTATAATGCTTAACGACAGAACACAAACGAGGATGGTCTTTTTTACCCTGATAAACTTTATTGTTATTTGTTACACACGAGACATGTCGTCACAGCGACGACCTGCTGTAAGTTTCATCTTGACAGTCTGCCATTCCGACATTCCAGGTCTATAGCTGCAGCTCACCACAGTTAATATAATATTTTTTACGAAACTCGTAAGCACACCACTGTATATCGAATTATGTGCAATATTGTCGTCGAGAAAATTCGATCGTCGATCCACCGAAACTAAAAAAAAAAAAACTACAACGGTGTCTTCCACGACCAGGGGAGGGGGGCACCGAAAGCGAAACGATAGCCACGAGTATTCTAATATAATAATATTATGACTTTTAAATTGTAATATTATAATGTGACGTTATGTGTTTGTGTGTGCTGTGATGTGGAGGTGAAAAACAATAGACATGTTGGTCCGTGCGCTATATAGACACTGCAATATACGCTACAGAGATCGGCATTCGATATTCAATGGAAAAAAAAAAAAGGGTTGCTATAATATTTTATATTTGTGTTATTATTGTAATATGTGTATCTACACAGGAAAAAAATTTAATATTATTGTAGTCGTTTTCGTTTGCGAAAAAAAAAACTATTATAAATATATATTTTTTAATCTAATCGTTTTAAAATATTTCGACCTAGCATACAATATGCGCTTGCAATACGCATTATATTTCAGGGAAAATATTTGATATGATACATTTTGAGCACATATACAGACCATATTSTGGCTACGGACATGGAATCAAGGTTCCACAAAATTAAATGAAATTAAAAATTCCATACATCCATGGCCCTATCCGTCGGACTCCTCAAGGAAAATAGAAACCGCAATAAACAGAATGCGAATAGGACACACATGGCTAACACACCAATATCTGATGAAAAAGGAAGACCCTCCCATTTGTGSCAGTTGTGGTATTCCTCTCACAATCAAACACATCATATCCGAATGCCGCATATTATACGAAATGGACAAACAGGAAGCAGGTGTATCCAACATTTTATCAGAAGCACTACACCCAGACAATATTAGTAATATGATAACATTTATAATTAAGTCCCAGCTTATAAATAGTATATAACCTGTAAATAATTGTATATATATGTAACCTATTGTAAACCAACGCCAATGGTCTTTGACGCCGAGGCTTAATATAAATAATAAATAAAAAAAAAAGACCATATTGTGTCTTCATTGTTGACTACTGTATTCTGAGTGAAGTGATTTTCGATTTTCGTATTATTTAATGATAATAAAATACAATAATTTAGTAAACACACAACATAAAATTTAATACCTTACTGTGAAGTCAAAATAATGTTTACATATTAATGAATGCATAAATATTAAAATAAAACTTTGCGTGCGCGCTTAACTGCATTGGTATGGTCTGTAATAGCTATATGTTTACCAGAGAAAAACTGTGGTAAAAATATTCATTATCATATTTTATTCATTGAAATGTCAAACATTTTTCGTTTTTATTGTTTATATTTTCCGTAATAGAGAATATTTTTACGAAAACGATTTGAAATTTAATAGAACACATGTCGTATACTATCATTTGCGTCTAATGTACATATCGGTGGATATTTTTTGTTCTGCGACCATTGGAAAATCATCGTTTCCATCGGCAATATGCTACGATTTTTAAGATTATTCGACAAAATAACAATAGAAATAAAAACTAAAGAACTAAACGACATTTTAATACATTTTTATTGTCGCACATGCACGCCATTTTACCGGGAAAACCTTTTTGTAGTTAATTCGTTGGCCGTGACTAGTAGAATGGTCATAGATCGATTTCTATTTGTTATAAAGAAGATGACTTTATCTAGGGGTTTGTCCGGGTTTTTTTTTCCGTGTTTTACATTGCATATAATATATTATGTTCAAGAAAAATAAAAACGATCAGATTTTCAATTCAAAATAAAATAAATTTACATATTATAAGTAAGATAAAAAAAAGCGAGTAAGTCATGGATGTCGCTTTGCTGTGCAGTAGGTTACAAGTGAGTTACTGTAATGGATGGAATTAAATTTGAATCCAATGATATAATATCATTGTAAATGAAAAACGATTCTGAGCGGAGACAGTTTATCTGTCTAGGATATATTATAGATTATTAAAAATTTTCAAATTTTAGATTTAAAAAGGAACATTTTGTATGAGTTTCTAGCTTAAAATAATTAATGCATTTTTGTGATTTTTACGTATTTTGTCAAAATTCAAACTGAATGCTTATAAAAAAGAATTGTGACCACGAATTTAATTTATTTTTCAACTGCTATTGTAACAACGTATTAGGTGTTAGGAATTAAATTTTCAAGCTTTTCTACCCAACAAATAAATATTTATCGATATTATTTTTTTTTTTAACTAATAATAATCGAAAATTGCATATGCCTATAAATAGTTCAACTTAGGTCGACACTTTTTGAAAATTGTATGGTGGATAGAATATACGAATATAAACATTCGGCGAAAATTATGTATCTATTATGGTCATTTTTTTTAAAGTTACATCAAAAACCAAAATCGATATTGTCGAAAACTGATTGCGCATAAGAATTCCCGTTTCTTCCTTAATTTTTAGTTTGTTTATCCCGATTATATAGAAAAAAATATTGAGAATTTTTTACTTTTGAACCCCCTCCCCCTTCCCCTAAATAGATTCACTTTCTGATCGAATGACGTACTGAAGTCGAAAATCGAAGCACTTCTACTGCCCAAAAACGTGATGACAGACACAAAAAAAAAACACATCATGTTAAAATCAATACATTCTTCACTCCACTCAGAATCTAAAAAAGGCGCTCTAAAAATGCATATGGTTAAAGTTATACTACATCTGACAATGGAAATTATAATAAAAAAAATGTGTTCTATAATCTACAAATGTTTATCGAGACGTCTTGACTGATGATGAAGTACGGAAACGTGATTTTTTTACTACTCGATCATACACCCTTTGTAACCAAAACTTAATAAATTAAATAATAATATTATACATGTGGTGAAAATCTAATCAGCTGTGAAATGTCTGACATTACTTCATTTTCTTTTTCTTTTCTTTTTTAGCGTGGATCTTGGGATCGTGGATGTGTAAGATCGTGCCGTATGTCCAAGGTGTTTCAGTGGCAGCGTCCGTGTACAGTTTGATCGCCGTTTCAGTGGACAGGTTGGTGTACAAAAAATAAATTTTAAAATAAACGCTTGTCAATTCGCGTTTAACTGAATATGATCGATATGATCGATGCATGTTGTATTGTCGTTGTGGTATTTTAAGTAAATTATGGTTATTTTTCAACAATAACTTTAATTATTGAGGTCCCATATAATTAATTGAAAAATAATTCTCTTAATTTTTCATAAATAATCGCAAATTATAATTTTTTTTTAAACGATTTACGCTATGGGGAAAAATAATTAAACGCAAATCACAGATAAAGTTCTGCTCCATTTAACAGAATTTATATTTATTCTATTTTTGTTATTGAATAATGAAATTTGTACTCACATAAACTTTAATTGGGTTTTGACATTCGAATTAAGCGTGTACACGTTTATATATGTTTTCATAAGATCAATAAATAGTATTAAATATAAGCAGTCGGTCGACTTATCGTATACAGAATCCCACAACACCATTGTTTTAATATAAATTTACCGTATCCTGTGATAATTGATATAAAATAGGCAGTGCATTTATTGAGATTTTTTTTTTTTATTAAGAACTTTCAGTATAACTATTATAGTTCAACAATTACAACATATTTATTGAGATTAGATGAGCATATTGTATATTATATAGTGAATGATTTATACAAGAAAATATACATTAAGGACGACCAATATAAATAATCGATCATAGTAAGCTTTTGATCTGTAGGCGTTATTGATAGTCTACTAAACATACACCATAACAATATTACCTAAGTGCTTGGTTATATTGTTATGATATAATATTTAATAAAACCATCATTCTGGAGATTTAAAATCGATTTTGATGTTGTCATTATGAGCAAAAAAATAGAATACAATGTTTTATAGGCTTAAATATTATACTAATACTTATTTCTTTTGTACATCACAACAAAAAAATAACCAAATTGTGTTTACATAATAAATATATACCTTTGAATATTATTAGAAATTCCCTGTGCAAAATGTTCAATATAATAACGATTTATTTTGTTTCGATTTGATGGACAGAACGGAATTTGATCAGACATGTGAAACTGATGTTATGTTAGAATAAATTAGATTTTAGCGATTGATAGACTTTTAGTATAATAGACAATAATAATATATAGATTGGTATAGTTTTATATTATGATATAATTGAAAGATTACTTTTATTGTACGATAACAATCGGTATGATTGTTTTATTTGATTACAAGAAGCAATCAAAAATAATTCCTAGGTAAACATATATTTTTAGTTTCATGTATATTATTGATGTAATTGAAACAGAATACAATTTTTTTCCTCAGAAGTTTGTAAGTTCTTGAATTGTATGCTATATTTTGTTTTATGTACCATTACTTAAACTTTTAAAAGACAATAGTTCGTTCAAACATGGTATTAAAATTGAAATAATACGTATGAACTTTACTAATAATCAAGTTTTACCATACATATATGTCACTACTTTGATTAAAAATAATGAGTATAAAATAAACTTAAATAGACATAATAATACAACTTAATTATAAACATAATACAAAACAAATATATAAGCACTATATTTTGTATTAAATTAAAAATGTACAAAAGTTAAATTTAAAATGGAAATAAACTACTATAATACAATATTGTATTGTGTAATATATGCTAAGATAAATGCATTTGATATATTTCTTTTCCTGTTCTATTATATAGTCAAATAATTTTGCTACTAAATTGTTAATAATCACAGGAGATAATAGCAAAATCCTATATATATATATATAAATTGAAACATTCGTTATTATAACACTGTAATAAATAAATAAATATATATATATATATAAATTACGTTTAGAACAGTAGTATCGTACTATACTATTGCATGCGATCGATAAAATATGCTCCAAGAAAGTTCACAACAGTGCAAAGGCCTCTTCTATGTACAATTTACAAATACACACTAGTGCATGGGAAATATTTGACAACAATCTAATCGAATCTTAACTTTACTGCTGTTCAATGGTTTTAGGTTTATCACATTTGGAGATTAGATACATAAAGTTTCTTCTTTCACTGAAGAATAAAAGTCCCATATTTATTATAAAAATCACATATTTTCTCGTCTATTAAAATATATGCATTTCTCTCATCACTTTAAATACGACTACAATAATCTGGMCATTCAGTGTATTTAAAATGTTTTATCAAAACAATTTCTTTGCAATGCACACTTAGTACTATTTTATATATAGAACGGTTCACCTAACACGCTTACTGAATTTTTATTCAATAATGCAGTAATTCAAAATTAGAATTTTTGGAATTATCAATGATTCATAAATACTATATTTTTATGCTATTGATATATTTTATACTACTTAAGGAGTGTCCGATGGAGTTTTTGACTTATGTTTTCTTTAAATCAGAAACCCATACCTACTTTTATGGCAAATTATTTATGAGAACATTTTTGTTGGACGTTTTGATGTTTCAAAATCAACTCAATAATTTTTTAGTTATTTAATTTTATGATTATGAATCTGGATAATTCAGGAACTATTATAGTGATTAGATCAGTTTAGTAATTAGTAGTTATATTATTAGCCTACCAACTTATTTTATAATTTTTGATCAAAGTATAATTAAAACTGAATCTAACAAGTATTATATTTATTTTATATTTTTATAAAATCGTTTTTAAGGTTTTTTATCCATAGTATGCATTTAAAAATCAGTTGAGTACTTGTTTGACGTTTAAATACGTGGATACATCAACTTTTACAAAAAATTTACCTCTTAATAATTTACAGTAAACAAGTGAGATTCTCAATTGAAATTCATAAAAATAAATCATCACAGAACCTGTATAATCGTTTATTACTTAACTCCTAAGTAGTGCAATAAAATATTAAGAATTTGAATAACTTTGATATAAATTTAAAATATTGGGGTGAGTGTGCATTCACTCTGTCTATAATTTATGTTATATCTATGAGTGTAATATTTTTTTTGTTTTTTTTTTTTTATTATTATTATTAACGTAGATTATTATAGAATGGAAATGATAAGTTATGGACTATTGCACAATATTTGGATAGAAATAAATAAGTACACAATTTCATGAGAATCATTTTAATTATATCAATTGAATTGTATTGTTTTTATGACCAAAGTCTATAATATAACAGTTTTTCGGGTAGTTTTTTGAAACATTTTCATAAATATGGCGACAGTATATAGAGGAAGAAAAATTGTGCACTGCAACCGTGAATGTGCACGATGATAAATAATTTACGTTAAACGAAGTCAAACATCAGTAATGCACGACAGAATGGACGGGCAATACGGGGTGGACTGCTACCGGGTGGACGGCCACCGGATGTACAGACACTGCCGGGTGGACGGCAACCGGATGGACGGCGGGTACAGCTACCACGCGGGTCACCACAGGCGAGGGATGCGATTGTACGACGGTGGACGAGCGCACCACGGAAGCCGGATGGTGTACGACTGCCGGAATGACCGGTACAACAGGCACGTACGGTGCTGCGAAGGCAACGGCGATCAAACACAGAATTAATGCGATCTAAAAAAAAAAAAAATTAAACAGTCTTAATAATTTTTGTCATAATTGATTATTGAATAAACATGAGAGAAATTCTGTTAGATTCCTGCTGCAAGTAAATAAAAAATAAAAATAAAACCACTTGTTGAAAGCTTGCGTAGACTACCCGAAAAACATAATAATTAGTAGGTACGTATCTAATATCTATCAACACAACCAATCGTAGACGCTCGAAATTTTACACAATTATCCCTTTGATGTAGGTCCTTTTACCGGAATTCCGCAGTCGGATTTCCTATAATTTTTGAAATAAATATACTCAGATGATTGATTCCTGCATATACTTAATTTAATTTTAGATCAAAAATAAAGATTTTAGATCACAGGACTCTAGACATTGTAATATTAACCGTCGAGCCGAAAGACGACAGTTGCGTCCGTGACGAAAAGAAATTTACAGACAACCACTCCTAACGAAACAAGCTTTGAGTGCGGCGGTGTAACAAAATTATGCTATTGTACAGTCTCGCTCAATTGAGGTCACCAATTGAATTTTATATATTATATTGATGGACATTTTTTATGAAAAAAATTTGAGAAAAAGGGAAAAAATTATAAAAGGTACCTAAAAAAAAAATACGAAAGATCATAAATAATAAATTTCCATACGTGTGATCAATACTGCTAATAGTTTGGTTTATTGAGATCTGTCAATGCGATTATTAAACAGCTTGTAAATGTTAATCTAAACTTTGAAAGTTTTAATGTTTAGAAATTCACGGGTTTTGGGCAAACATTTTTCAAGACAGTAAAAGTACTACAAAAGAAGCATAATATACATAGTAGTCATCGCCTCATCGGCGCGTTATCGATTTAAAAAAAGGGCACATGTGGCGCTATACAAACAGGTCAAAATTTTATATTCTTAACGGGTTTTGACACAAATTTTCTGAAGAAACGTCTATTAGATAAATTTGATGAACGACCGTTAATCGTAATATCCAAATACGAAAACGCAATAATAAAAACGCAACAAAAGCGTTCATACATTTGGCATGGTGTATTATGCAGTTCGATTGAATACCGGTGGAACCGTGTATTTTTACCCAGTTAAATTTTACGGGGGGGGAGGAGGGGTAAATATTCACTAGCGAAATTTTATTGGAGGTAAATATCCCCGACAGGGTTAAATAACGCTTGTGAAATTTTACCGGGGGTAAAATATAACTAGCGAATATTGAACAAAGATAAATAATCACTGGTAAAATTTCACTAGTGAATATTTACCTCCCGGTAAAAATTCCACTAGATCAAATTCATAAATTTACGCTATTAAAATGTTTTAATATAAATTAATATTTTACGTTAACTTAACTAGGAATAAGGTCCATTTCCCCCCACCAATAAAAAACCCAAATAAATTTTACCAATTCTTTTCTTCAGC